AGAATCTGTAACAGGCTCCAGGCTCTGAGCTGTCAGCACAGAGCTCGGTGTGGGGCTTGAACCCTGAGCATGAGATCATGACCTGAGTTGAAGTCGGATGCTCAACCGACTGAGCCACCCAGGTGCGCCTGGACCACATTCTTAAAAACAAGCTCAAAACGATTCAAGACATCAATGTGAGAAGTGAAACCATAAAACTCCTAGAAGAAAGCATAGGTAGTCATCAGACATTGGCCTTTGACATTTTTCTAGATAGATCTCCTGAGGCAAGGGAAACAAAAGCAACAATAAACCATTGGGACTACATCAAGATACAAGCTTCAGCACAGCAAAGGAAACCATCAACAAAATGAAACAACCTACTGAGAGAACATTTTTTAAGTGATATATCCAATGAAAGGTTATCCAAAATATATGAAGAACTTACACAATACCAAAGAAAGAAAAAAACAAAACCCCAAACAATCCGATCAAAAATGGGCAGAAGACCTGAATAAACATTTTTCCAAATACATTCAGATGACCAACAGAGACACGAAAATATGCTCAACATCAATCATCAGGAAAATGCAAATCAAAGCAATGAGATAGGACGTCACACCCATCAGAATGGCCAAAATTGAAAAGGCAAGAAACAACCAACCCACGCTGGCGAGGATGTGGAGGAGTCGTCACTGGTGCAGCCACTCTGAGCAACAGAATGAAGGTTCCTCAAAAGATCGAGAATACCATTACCACATGATCCAGTGAATCCATAACTGGGTCTTTATACAAAAAAGCCCCAAAACGTTCATTTGATAAAATATATGCACCTCTCTGTTTACAGCAACTTGATTTACCATGGCCAAGATATGGAAGCAACTGACCGTCCATCCAAAGACAAATGGATAAAAGAAATGTAGTATATACATACAACGGAGTATTAGTCATAGAAAGGAGGAGATCTTGGCATTTGCGACAATAGATAGACCTAGAGGGTAGGACGCTAAGTGAAGTCAGAGAAAGACAGATACCCCATGATTTCACTTATATGTGCAATCTAAAAAACAAACCAAAAACACCCAGGCTCAAATACAGAAAACTGGTGCTTGCCAGCAGGATAGGTGGGTGGCGGATGGGTGAAATAAAGGGCGTTGAGAGGTACAAACATCCAGTTATAAGTTACAGAGACGTCAAGTACTGCATAGAGAACACAATCCGTAATACTGCAAGAATGTTGTATGGTAAAAAACCAAAACCAGACAAAGTTGCCCGCCACTCCTAGGACTTTGGGACACAGCAAGGACCTCCCTCCCTGAGAGCAAGGGACTCAGGAAGGGCACCGTGCCAACGCCGGTAGAGAGAACTGGGTTGCACCGATCATTACCCGCTCTTGATCCAGCTTCTCTAGTTCTCTTCGTTCCCTTTCTAAAGCTTCTTGCAGTTCACTCTTCCTTATTTCTTTTCTTTCCTTTTGTTCTGTCATGTGCTGTTCCCATATTTTTTCTTCTTCCTTCTGTTCTCCCATTGGTTTCTGATCTAGACCTAATGGGACAGAAAATAAAGAGCAAGTCGTTTCCAGCATCAGATTTTTCAGATGTAAGCAGGGACCCTTCCCAAGACTCAGGAAGAATCTGCCGGGTTCTCAGAGGGCTCTTGGCCTGTTCCATCTGTGAGCCCCCAAACCCACTCCGAGCACCGCGCCCCGCCTTTACTTGGCTGACATGCAGATAAGCCACCCTGACCACAATGACTTTAGCTGCCTCCCATGCCCCCCCATCACATCTTCTGCCCCGTCTTTGCCCACCTCCTCACTGCTTCCCCAGGCAAGCCCTACTTTTCCACTTCTGCCTCTGGTTAGGAGCCTCCCCCCATCTCTAGGATTCAGACTTAACCGTTAGTCCCTATTCATTTACACAGCCCCCACCCCCCCCTTTTTTTAAGTATACTATTTGAGAGACAGAACGCAAACGTGTGTGTGCACAAGTGGGGAAGGGTCAGAGAGAAGGGGAGAGACAGAATCCCAAGCAGGCTCTGTGCGGTTAGGACAGAGCCCCACGTGGGCTCAAACCCACACAGGAGATCATGACCAGAGCAAAAACCCAGAGTCGGATACTTACCTGATTGAGCCCCGCCCCCCGGCGCCCAGACACAGCCCTCTTGTAACTCCCCGCCTTGCTCCCGTGCAGGGGTGCTGCAGTCTCTCCTGCACCCCCCATGGGACACCACCACACCCTCCCCCTGGTCTAGCCAAGTAGCTGCCGCCGCCCACCTCCGCCGGGCTGATCCCCCACCTTTCCCACACCTCCCTCTCCGGTCCTGACCTCTCTCCGTGTTTGCTCACACCCATGTTTCTACCGGGCTCCCTGCCATCGACACAGGAGATCCTGCAGCCCTGGCTTCCTAGCTGAACTCCTCATCCTTGTCCCTGGAGTCATGCTCTTGCCACACCACATCCACTCGGTCACCAGGGCTTACACTTTCCTCTTCCTCCTCCTGCTGCAGTTCAGGTCCTCATCACTGTTCACCCGGGTGGCCGAAATCACTTGGTCAAGGGTCTCTGTGACCAAGGTCTCTCCAGGCAGCCCGCCTTCACCTGCGTGAGCACCAGTCACTTCCGGATGTGCTGTGCACACGCTCCGCTCCGGTGGAATCCAAACCCGTGGCGGTCGAGTGCCCAACTGCCTTTTCCCTTCCTGCCTGACCTCCTGGATCACCTGAACGTTCACGTCCGAAACCTCCCGTCTAGGCGCTGGCACGCACACGGGTGCCCGAGTACAGCGCCGTCTGCCCTGCTACCCGCTCTCACGTCCTCCTCAAGCAGATGTGCTCCCTTCCCCCAAGCCCCACCCAGGATGCCAGCCCTCACCTGAATGCCACAACTTCTGTGAGCTCCTCATTCCTACAGTGACAAGTGGCCACTTCAGCACCATATTCACACAGTACCTTGTACCTGACTTGTCAAAACCCATAAGCACCTGTCTCCCTACTTCTGTCCCTTCCGGCCAAGGTCCGGGTTTGAATCGCCTGTTCTCTAAGTTGACAACACACGTCCCCACGCCTCACGTGTTTAACTTGATCTCAGTTCCACAGAGGACTACGCTGACCTCTCTCCTCCAGCTCTGGTCCAGAACCTCAGCTTTCCCAGCAAGGCTAACACACAGTCAAGCACAGATTCACGACGGGACTTCCAGCCTCATGGCTGTGCTCTAGTCACCAACCAAAAGTTAGCATCTCCCACAGGAGAGCAGCAGCAGTCTCCACTTGATCCTGGTCATGAAATTCAAACCCTAGAGGCGGCTGCTGGCCACTTGCACAGGCAGAAATGCAGCCTCTTCGCTGGAGGCACGTCACTCGTACGGAGCGGCGACCTCAGGGCGAGGATGCCGTTTGGGGGAAGATTTCAAGACACAATGAGGAAAGGGCTCCTTCGCTGCGAGGTGTACTTGGTGGCTCCAGAGTGGCAGAGGGAAACCTCTTCGGATGGAAGAGCGAAGAAAAGCACGGTTTCCACTGGCACAAAGATAGCAAGTTTTAGGCTTTACCTCCCTTGGCGCCCAAAGACGTGAAACAACAGATCTGAGAGTTCCTCAACGATCAGAATGTAACCCCACCGCTTAATAGTAATTTAAGAAGCCGTTTATTATAATGTACTGTACTTGTCAGAAACAGAAGGCCTGTCAACTCAGTTCGTGTCCTTTATTCTATTGCATTATTTCTATTCCCTAATTCACTCCAGTGTCTGCCCATCAGAGCTGCTCTAGGGCACCAGTGCCCCCATCAGCTGTCCTATCGGATGCCATCAGCCATGGCCTGCTGACTGTCCTGCTAGAAGCTGCATGAAGCAGGGGCAGCTTCCAGAAAAGCATCCAATATGCAAAAGGCTCTTGATGGAGTCTGAGTGAGCACTTTCCAGAAATGACTTGCTCTGGAATCAGCAAAAACCAACCCTCTTGCTCCTTTCAGTGATTCCTCATATTCCCAACTGCGCCTGAAACCAACAAACCGGTTTCAAGAAGCATCCCATGGGTTTTAGGGATGATGCTCTGCCAATGTTTGGGAAGGACCTACAGGTGGTTTTACTTGAGGCATTTCCTTTCACCTCTGAGGCTAAAACACTCTGGTTCAAGGAGAAAAGGACACGCCTGTTGGCTGAGCCCTGGGGCAGAGCTCAAATGTCTCCACTGGGGAGGGAAGCAGGCAGTCTGGAGAAGGGAAGAGGAAAGACCAGGTGGGCCAGGCAAGTCTGACACCCAGTTCTCCTCCAATGTCATCAGCTTCCCTGAAGATTGAAGTAGATCAACTTTAAAAAAAGAAAAACCTTTATTTTGAGAGAGAGAGAGTGTGAGGTGAGGGACGATGCAGGGGGACCAGAGAATGCCAAGCAGGCTCCAGTTTTCAGAGCAGAGCCCGATGCAGAGCTGGAACCCACAAAGCGTGACATCATCACCCGGGTGGGAATCAAGAGTCAGACGCTCAACCTACTGAGACCCCCCCCCCACCCAGGCGCCCCGGGAAGGTTTTTCTTGTCCGACTTTAATGCGTGGAAGAAGCAAATAACTAGAAAACGAAGTAGTATTAACTATCACTAATTCGTTAATTTATTTTGTGAGTTCAAACAAAGCAAAACTTACCGGGGTGGCAACAAGCGAGAGGTCCGGCAGACACCGTGGTGGCGGCAGCACCCACATGAGGCACGTCGCCAGCAGGATGGAGGCCGTCCACCTCAAACTGCCTCGGCGTGCTCCCTGCATCTGCAAAAGGTGCGAACGCGAGTCCTCAGGAACCATAGCGAGGGAAGGGCGTGCGGCACGGCGGGGGGACCGCTCGCTCCCAAGCATCAAGTCTCGGCCAGAGCAGCCGGGCCAGCTCTAGAGTCTGCATCACAGCCGCCCGTCTGCCCGCTTTCACGTCTGCAAGTGTTCTTTAGCTTTGAGAATTACATTCATTCACACGATCAAATCAGTCACCCAACAGGAAAATCAGCTGAGTCCCAGAACTCACCTGGTTGCTGCTAATCGTTTGAACTGTATTTAAAATCATGATTTAATGAGCCTAACAAGGGGGAGTCACAGGGATTTTGAAAAGTTTACTAAGCCATTTAAATGTTCAAAATATTCTACCTTTCACACTTAGCGATGAAGCTCACGAAACACGATGACAGCTTATATACAAAGCGGGGCCATGGCCAGGATACCATTTCTAGACTCTTTAAGCTTGTAGTATTTCACCTCTATTCTTTAATTAAACAGCAGGCTTTCTAAATCTGAGGCAGTCAATAGAATCAGTGTAGTTCAAACAAAACTAACTTAGCATGCTCGTGTTCCATAAAAGGAGAAACAAAAAAAATCATTTTAAATCTGAGGCAATCCCAAAAGTGGTAAACTGAATTGAGGATTCAATTAGAGGCTTAGCGCCCACTCCGAAATGGTGAACTATCCAGAAACATTTAACGAACCGAACTCCGAACCCCCCACCCCCCGAAAATCTTTGTGATTTAAAAATGAGGCAGTATGTTAATATCTGTGGTTTTACCACAAAAATCAAAAAGTCCTAATCTGTAACAGCTTTGCTTTTTATGACCGTGGTTATGTTTCACCAGAACTAAGCTTTCTACATTCTTAACTTCTAAAAACCAGGACTCCCAATTGAACTTACATTCAAAAGATGATCCAAATTCCTCATTGTCCTTAAAAGGTAGCTTGTCTGGATCTGAAAGTTCTCCTTGTTCTTCAAGTTCTGTCTGTCTTTGATGAAGACTAGATTGGAAGAATAAAATTCAAGGATGTCACGTTGAAGGAATATAAAACCCCAGAGCACAGGATGACGCAAACTCTTTGGGACTCAAACTGTTGCAGAAAAGCAGTTTTCCCTAGACTCACAGACAACAAGGGCTACACTGCAGTGGGCACCCCCCACGCACTGGCTGGGAGAGAAGTGCTACCCTCATCACCATGCTGTTCCCGGGAGCAGTTTATTTATTTATTTTTTTCAACGTTTATTTATTTTTAGGACAGAGAGAGACAGAGCATGAATGGGGGAGGGGCAGAGAGAGAGGGAGACACAGAATCGGAAGCAGGCTCCAGGCTCTGAGCCACCAGCCCAGAGCCTGACACGGGGCTCAAACTCGCGGACCGCGAGATCGTGACCTGGATGAAGTCGGACGCTTAACCGACTGCGCCACCCAGGCGCCCCATGGGAGCAGTTTATTTCTTAAAGAACCCGAAAATGTTTTGAAAAACAATTGTGCACACCGCCAGCACGTGCCGGCTGAGAGTGCTACACTCCAAGCCCCCCGTAAACTAAAAAGCCCTCCCTCAGCACACGTGTCTCGTCTTTCTTTTTGGCTTTATTACATTAACACGATTTAGGATAATAGGCACACGTGGCAATTTTCAACTCTGTACAGTAAAATGGAATCCACATGCAGAAGCCCAGAATGAAGGAGTCAGCATCTCCTGCCATGGGGACTAGGCATCAACAGGGGTCCCACAGGAGACCCGAATCCCAGACTGAGCCACCCACCCCTGTGCTCCTGAACACACCCACCCACGCCTGCTTAAGCAGTCGTACCCCAGGACCCACTACCAATTGAGGGTTTACTTCCATTATATGCAAATTGCAACTTCTTAAGATCAGGAACAAGCCAAGGAGGTCCACTCTTCCCACTTTGATTCAACATAGTACCAGAAGTCCTAGCCACAGCAATCCGATGAGAAAAGGCATCCATGGGGCACCTGGGGGGCTCAATCGGTTAAGCAGCTGACTTTGGCTCAGGTCATGAGCTCATGGTTCGTGAGTTCAGGCCCCGCGTTGGGCTCTGTGCTGACAGCTCACAGCCTGGAGCCTGCTTCAGATTCTGTGTCTCCCTCTCTCTCTCTCTCTCTCTCTGTCCCTCCCTGACTTGTGCACATGCTCTCTCTTTCTCTGTCTCTCTCAAAAACAAACAAAGGCATCCACATTGGAAAGGAAGAAGTCAACGGTCACTCTCTGCAGACAACATGATCCTATCCATAGAAAACCCTAGAGACTCCACCAAAAAACTATTGGAATAAATGGATTCAGTGAAGTTGCAGGATAGAAAAATACCCAGAAATCATTTGCATTTATGTACGCTATTAATGAAGTAGTACAAAAACATAAGTAACTCCATTTACGATTGCACCAAAAATAGTAAAATACCTAGAAATAAATCTAACCAAGGAGCTGAAAGACCTGTACTTGGAAAACTATACAACACTGATAAAAGAAACTGAAGAGGACACCAACAGAAAGCCAGTCCATGCTCATGGATTGTGAGAAGTAATGTTTTCAAATGTCCCTGCTACCCCAAGCAATCTACAGATTCAATGCAATCCCTATCGAAATACAAACAGCATTTTAAAAATAATCTTATAATGTTTATTTTTGAGAGAATGAGAGAGAATCCAAAGCAGGCTCCGGGCTCTGAACTGTGTAAACAGAGCCCGACATGCGGCTGCAACCCACAAACTGTGAGATCATGACACAAGCCAAAGTCGGATGCTCAACCGACTGAGCCCCCTAGGTGCCCCCCCAACAGCATCTTTAATAAAACTCGAATACTAAGATTTGTATGGAGCCACAGAAGACCCCAAAGGGCCAAAGCAATCTTGAGAAAAAAGATCAAAGCTGGAGGGATCACAATCCCAGATTTCAAGATATGCTGGAAAGCTATAGTAATCAAAACCATATGGCACTGACAGAAATAGACACACACGTCCATCAAACAGAATAGAGAGCCCAAAAAGAAATTCAAGTTAATATGGCCCATTAATCTGACATACGAGGCAACAATGTACAATGGGGAAAGACAGCCTCTTCAGTAAATGATGCTGGGAAAACCGGACAGCTACACGCAAAACAAAGAAACTGGACCACTTTCTTATACCCAACACAAAAATCAACTCAAAAGAAGCTAAGGACCTAAACCTCAGACCTGAATCC